TCTTCTTCAAACCGAACAATCGTTTAGCTTAACTAGTAAAAAAAGGTCTGCCTTAAGCATTATGCTCTTTTAAGAGCTATCTATATGAGTTGACAACAGCAACTTGAAAGATAGGATGGGAAACTTAGGGGGCAGTGAGTTTATGTTAAAAGGGAAGAACAACTCAGAAAAGGAGGGTGAGAATGGTTGCACAACTGGAAGAATGTAAACAGTGTTACTAAGTGGTACCTGTAGAAACTGTTGAATTGGTGTATGGTTTGCTGTGTATATTCTCAACAACAACAAAATGAAATTTAAAGAAAAAAATAGTCAATGCTGCTTTAGAGAATGTAAACTGAGGCCTCATTTTCTGCTTTTGTTTATTTTCCCAGCACAGAGGTAGTGGCCTGTTGGGAAGTAAAGCCCGTTTCAAAAAAGAAGAAGAAGAAGAAAGAGAGAGAGAGAGAAGGGATTTCAAAGGCCAGCTAACAATAAGACAGGTAATTTCAAATTTGTTGTTATTGCTAGTTGTCATCGAGTCGATTCTAACAACCTCATGTGTGCAGAGTAGAACTTCACTCCACAGGGTTTTCAAGGCTGTGACCTTTTGGAAGCAGATTTCCAGGCCTTACTTATGAGGTGCCTGTGAGTGGGCTTGAACCATCAACCTTTTAGTTAGTAGTTTAGTGCTTAACCACTTGTGCCACTCAGGGACAAGTTGCTTTAATAAACATTGTGAAAATATCATCCAGAGCTTAGTGAAATAGTATTAATATGAAAGCTGTCTACTATAAAGTCAGCTCTGAGGACACTCTCAGACATTCCCTGGTTTCTACTTTGGGAATAAGCACATCCAGACCCACACCATATGGCATAGTAGTGAATAGGTCATAGGTTTTCAAATCCAAATTTAACACTAACAATGTGAACTTGGGCTGGCTATCTAAACTCTCTGAGCTTCAGTTCTCCCATCTGTATAATGGGGAGAAAACTGTTACACCTGTTACATGACATAAGGATTAAATAAGCTAACACGTGCAAAGCCTATAAAGTCATCCGTGAAATGGGAATAATAATACCTACAAGGCAAGGTCATGGTCATCATGGAGATACCATATGCCAAAGCCCTTAGCATGTGCCTACACCATGTAGATGCTCAATGAAGGGTATTATCAGTTCTGCTGGAAAGGAAACTTTCTGTCCTCTCATTTAAGCTGAGTGTGTAGTTAATCAGGAATTCAGAAAGAAGACAAATTAGGGTCCAAAACCAAAAGCTGATGCCGTTGAGTTGAGTCTGACTTGTCGGCCATGTTTATACAGTTCCCTTGTGACAAATCTTTCTCTCTCATGCGCTGTTGAGGGACAAGAGGCAGGAACCATAGCAGGGAGTTCAATTTAATTCCTGTCTGTCTTGCTGTTTCCTGTAATGTAAGCTATTTTTGAAGAACTGATTTCTAACAGAGCAAGTACTGTAAATGCTACTCTTTATTCCATAAAATACAAAGGAGAATGTGATAAAATGAAGTTTTGGAGAACATGAGGTGGGGAACTATGTTTCTCATAAACTGGAGGATCCATTTAATAATTAAAGAAAGTTGGAGAATTAAAATTCTCTTTCCCACTAGAGGTGTTTGGCTGGTGCCAACTCTCATCTAAAATGCTGTGAAAACATCCTCAGGTTTTCAAGGCCTCCAAACTCACTACATTGGTTGATTTTCTCAAAATAGGCAGCATTTAGTGCCCATATCCAACCAATCCTGGGTGCCCCCCACTTGCCTACCGTCTGGGCAGAGGGACAACTCAGCATTTCTAGAAAAGAAGCCAGTCAGCTCCAGAAATAAAACCCGTGAAAAGGAGTCATAATGGAAACTGTGAGGAAAACATCCTGATTAATCACCCAACCTGATAAGGAGCTATTCTTCTATTCCTCGTAGTTTATGACTCATCTGTCCCACTCCCCACAAGTCAAACTTAATATTTCTCCTATAGTTCTGCAGCCACTACATTTTTTGAGCTCTTTTCTTCTACGGCCAAGCTTTTGGCGAAATTTCTCCTCTCCAGGAATGCTCCTCTTGCAAACAAAAAAGGATTGAAAAATTACTTCTGAAAGGAATGTAAAAATTGTCATTTTATCCAAAGGAACCTGGGGCAGAGACTGCACCTCAGCAGTGCAAAACCCCTCGTGTGCCTGAAGGGGACGCTGCAGTGAGCTCTTGCTCTCTGTCCTAACGTGGAGAGATGCGAAGAGCTAGGCTAAAACCAGGAGAGTCAGTGAAGTTCTCCTTGACACATTCTGACATAATGTGTAAATGTGTCAGTATGAAATAGAGCAACAGCATAAGCGAAAGCAAGCAGGAGAAAGTTCATTTTCTTCCTCCTTCCTCAGAAGTTTTCACCTGGGATGGAAACTTGTTCACTTCCTTGGCCAGGTAAAGTCTCAGGCATCAGACTTCCATCTCCTCTGTCTTTCCTATTAGCATTGAGTTGATTCTGACTAATAGCTACCCTGTAAGAACAGAGTAGATCTGCCCTATAGAGTTTCCAAGGCTGTAAATCCTTACAGAAGCGGACTGCCACATCTTTCTCCCACAGAGCAGCTGGTGGGTTCGAACCGCCAACCTTTTAGTTAGCAGCCGAGGCTTTAACCACTGTGCCACCAAGGCTAATTCCCTCCCGACTCCAGCCTCAGCTTTCAGTTCCTGTCCTTCCGATCCACTCTCCACGCTGGTGCAGTGTGATCTTTTTGTTGTTGTAAGATGCCATGGAGTCGATTTTCTACTCATAGTGACCCCATGTGACAAAGCAGAACTGTCCATAGGGTTTTCTAGGCTATAATCTTTACAGAAGCAGATCACCAGATCTTTCGCCCGCTAGGCAGCTGCATGGGTTCAAATCACTAACCTTTTGGTTAGCAGCCCAGCTCTTAACCATTGCACCTCCAAGGCTCCTTCTGCATATCTCTAGCACAGCAGTTTTCACTCTGCATTATGATTAGTGGCTAATCTCCTACTGAGCTCCTTGAAGTCAGAGACTGCATCTCATCTGTATCCCTGGTACCTAGCTGAGGACCTGATACCTAGTAATAGCTGACACTCAGTTCCTTCTAAATTAAACAACATAGTCACTGCAGAGGCTAAAAACAAACAAAAACACCCTAACACAAGAGGAAGGGCAAGCTGTTGACTAGTCCAGCATCCAGATTCATTATGCTACTTCCTATACCTCATCGTTATATTTTCTTCTGAACACCATTGCCCTTCACATTTTAGACTACCTCATTTCTTTGTCATATGTTTTTAACTGTACTATCTGCGCCCACAGGTTGTAGCTGAAAAGGCCAGCTTATGAGCAATGGTTCAAACCACAATGTCAGGAAAATAATAATTAAAGGCATTTGCATCTTAAAGCTCTTTTGCTATAACACAAGGAAAGTAAGGTGACCCAGACTGATTAAAAAGAATAACAACTCCTGCCACAAACAAAGAGCATCAAGCCATTACAAGAGGTTGTATCAGTTGATGTCCACCTGAAAGATAGACACTTGTTCTAGTTTACCTATATGGCATATGTAACTCATAACAAGTAAGCCACAGCAAAGTGAATAATCTTTTGGTGAAAAACAACTTTCTAATCTAAAGCTACCATTGCTTTAGGAAATTCTAACAACTGACTTTCAGCCAAATGGCACCTAAAAAGAAAACCAACCAAAAAATGGGTATCTAACAAAATGGAAACATGCCTGTTCTCCCTTGCTATTCCGAGTCAAAGTGGCCCAGCAGAACAGCAGTCATGGGCCATTACTCACATTGGAAGGTATCTCTTGAATGGCAGGAGAAGTAGTCTCTGCAGCAGATATTCGCTGACATCTCACATGCAGGCATTTTACGGGGTATTTGGGATCAAAACTGACAGATCCTCTCCTTCCCCAAGAGTACCTTTTTCTTTAGATCACAAAACAGGGAATTAAAGGGCTCAACCAAAATCCCTGGCAGAAAACATAAATCTCTAGAACATTTTAATGATGTTAAATCTCCCAAATGCCTAAAATAAATTTCTTTAAAATGAGCTGAGAGAAAATGGCATTCTCTTTCATAAGGCCCAAGTATTCAGTGTCCCGCTCTGGCATATGACCTTCCTGACCCAGAAAATAATAAATTAAGAACTCAAATGGCTTTTTAAAAAATTTCCTCTCAAGTGCTGTCTTTATCTATAGTGAACAAATAAAAAGGAGCCAGCCCTTCAATGGCAACTACTTGGAGAAGCAATAACCACTTCAAGATGTGGACTAATGTGTATATGAATAGTCACAACATAGGATGCTGTCAAACCTCTTTGGTGCCGCCCAATAGCATCATGCTCCCAGTCCCATGAGGTGTCCCCTTTATCATTATTTTCCATGCCTTAATCTAGGTGTTCCACAGCCCTTTCTGAAGAACAAAGGGTTCAGCCCCCTCCCCACAATTGCTGCTGTCCAAGAGGTGTGACAGCTTGAAAACTGCTGAAGAAGAGATACCAAGGGTTACACAGGGCATCTTTCAGTCCAAAATGGTAATGGGAACAAGAGCCTTCTCTACCTTGCAGGTCAGCTTTGGTCAACGCAACTTTGTTAGCAAAAGAACAGAAAAGCGAAAACAATAACCAGAGAGGTTAGTAAGAGGCAGAGTAAACCAGGATAACATTACAGAAATGAAAATGCAATTGGCATAACCAGCATCACCCAAACAGACAATCAATATGCTCTACAGGTTCACCAGAGACAGCACGAACAGGGACGCGCAGACCAGGGGCAGAGCAGGCCTCCTCGAAGCCAAGTCAGCAGAGCAGGGCAAGGGACATATTGGACTTGACAAAGCACAAGCAATGGGTAACAAGAGCCTTCCCACATTCACACAGCCAACCCCAAGGCATACGGTCCAGAAAAGTGATTTTTTGTCAGTCAGGATAAACCTCGAGAAATAAGGATAGTGCATGGCCAGACTGAAAGACACATGTGCAGAATCAGACAGAGCCCACAAAAATAATTCTGAACATTTAGGCATTGAAAATGGCAGAGTCATTTGGGAGTATTCCTTGTACCCTACAGCAAATGCCACCTAGAAATGTGGCACTAGAATCAGGCATTTTTGTCAAGATGATTTGGGAACACCAAAGAGCTCATTTTGTTTAATTTGTAAAAATATAGCCAAACCAAAATGGCTGTGGGCAAAAGGCACCAAATCAGTGTCTTTTTTATTTATTCATGCCAGTCTCAAAATGAACCACGTGTGTTTCTCTCAGATGTTTACCATCTGGAATGGTGGAATAGCATTTCTAGCCAATTCATGTCTTGGTCTCTTCATTAAAGCTGGCCTCAAAATAGGAAGAGATATTACCAGCCAAGTATTAAATCAGACATTTAAAAAAAATTCCTAGCCCAAATTAAGAGGCCACAAGTCATAGCTAGCTGTTGGCCAGGAGTTGCCCAGAAATTGCACTTAATTTATAAATTACACACTCAGCACATATTAGAGACATCAAATCAAAACCTAGTTCAAGACTCTCTTTTTTACTAAAAACAATGGAGAGCCAAAGAGAAGTGGCTTAATATGTTTTAAAAAATTTTTTTTATTCTTATACATTTTATTTTATCTGCTGTCATGGGTCAGATATAACAGGGAAAATGATATATTTACTACTTAGGGACCTTAAAGCCTCATTACCAATGATCTTGCCAAGAATATGTGCTATAACCTGGCTAGTGTGCCCCCACTATGTGAGAAATAAACACATTTACCATTTTGAAGAGATCCAAGGCTCAGTTCTTAGAAATGAAAACATATCCCCTACCTGTGTGTTATTCGATACATAAAAATGATAGATTCAAGAAATGTGTTTCATTTCCAGTGGTTCTCATAAAGTCTAACACTCAAAAGCCTTTTTGGAGTGACATATGCATGAAAGATTAATAATACCAATGGTATCTTTTTGCAGATTCTCCAAGATTTGTGCCCTTCTTTTTCCTCCCCACCATCTTCTATAGATTCATCTCCATGGAACCCTGGAAAGCTCCTGGGATCTCTTACAAGGGCTTGTTCACAATGGTGTCAACTTCCAATGACAGTAATTTATGCCTTAACCCACTTTTTGGCCATTTTTCCTGGTCACTTAGGCTAATTATCCAAGTCATTTTTGTATAATAAACAAGGGCCTTCTTCCCTCAGCACTCATCCTCCACTTTATCCCACCCAGTGGGGCGGTCATAATGCTCGATGGGTAACCATCATAATTATCTCCATGGCAATAGAGTGCAGTGTTATTAGGCCCATGAGACTTGCCACAGATTCAAACAGTAGTGCCATCAAGTCACAATATCCGGCTTTGAACAATCATCCATACCCAGAGGAAGATTGGAATCCACCATAATGCATGTGATGAGTCATACTAAACTGCACATAGAGCTGTAGGTAGGAATAAGAACATTTCCCCCAGTTTGATGGGTAATTTCCTTTTGTTAATGCATTCAGTGCTTTTTTTAAAACTCTCTTAAGTAGGATCCTTCCCCTCACCCTTTATACTATACTTTTTAATCCAGTTTTATAAAACGAGTTTGCTTAGATCTGCTTTCAATCCAATATTAAAGTTTTTTTTTTTTTACACCAAATTTTTTATACTCTATAGAGCTGTTTCCAATATAGTAGTCATAGTCACATGTGGCTATTGTGAACTTTAAACGTGTGTAGTATGAATTGAAATGTTCTAAAAGTATTAAGCTACAAATTGATTTTGAAGACTTAATATGAAAAAAGTAAACTATCTTATTGATGATTTTCTCACATTAATTACATGCTGAAATGATAATATTTGTATATATTGGATTATGTTAAATAAAATTAAAATTAATTTTACTTGTTCTTTTATACCTTTTTTAATGTGGCTACTAGAAAATTTAAAATTACATATGTGACTCAGTTTATATTTCTACTGGGTAACATTGCTAGAGAGTTAAGTGGACAGTTCCTGTTAATTTTTTAAATAGAAGAACTGATGGCATGATAAAAAATATTTCACATTCGAACAGTGCCTTACACTTTTTTGATATGTGCTTTTATATGATGTTTTAATTTGACATTACTAATTATTCCAGAATAACTGGAATTACTGTTATTCTACAATATTCTAGGCTAAGATACTCGATTTAATTCCAAATGCTGACTCTATCCCAGGATTTCCCTTTAACACCTGAAAGAACTGATAGCAGGCCAATGCAACAACAACAACAACAAATCTTGAGTTGAAGGAAAGTGTACATTCCCAAAAGCAAATTACAAAGTGGTTACTTTGAGTGCTTGGTGGAACCCTCTCACCACCACTACCACAAACACACACACACACACACACACACACACACACACCCCATATTCGGCCAACAGAATTTAAGAAATACTTATGGCTAAAGGAAAAATGGAGTGGGTTATAGGGACCATCAGTCTTGTTACTAGTAGAACATAGGAAACCGACTCCTAGGCAAAGGGGAATGACTTCTGAAACTAGAAATCAGCCTGGGGAGTTGATGAGAAGCTTTTATAAAAATGTGCTTTAAGGTGGTGAGCAAACCTAGGTGGGAGCTGGTTAAGAACAGGAGTGATAAATGAAGTTGAACACTTAGGAGGAAACGAATGAACAGGTTTGATGCGGTAAATGAACAAGGAACTCAAGAAAGCACAACAGATTGCACAAACAAAGGACCATAAGGCTCAGCCAGACGAAAGAATGCATAGATCTTGGTGACTGGTCAAGATCCAACCTCTTTGCCTCTCAAGTTCCGTAAGGGTCACTTTTCAGCCAGCCCAAGGCTGAAGGGAATTCAAAAGAGACTTACTAGGGAAGGCTGAACGTGTTTACCATTGCCCTCTGCTGGTTAAAGCTAGACTGCTTTTATTGTAAAGATCTCTTGGGCTCAGAAAAACCTGTAAAATTATGTTAATATCTCAAGAGACAGTCAATCATCTACAGAAATAGAAAGGCTAAGCACAGTTTGCTTTGCTTTGTGAGTAGGTGTGTAATGTTATTAGATGTCTCACATGAGATAATATCTGTAAACAATAATCTTACTTCTTATTGAGCACCTACTATGTATCTGGCATTTTACATACATGTCTGATTTATGTACATTACCTTCAAAGGTAAGTTTTATCACCCCATTTTACAGGTGAGGAAAATTAGCTCAGAGAGATTAAATACTTTGATAAATTCCATATAGCTAATAAGAGCTACATCCTAAACCTGAATTCAGGTCTTTCTAACTCCAAAGCCCAAGCTGCCCCAATGCACCACACTAAGGAACTGTCTAACAACGCCCAACATCTAGTAAGTACTCAATACATTCTAGTTCCCTTTCATTATTATGGCATTCTGACACTTTTCCTGCCTCCTGTTAGATTTGCATTGAGTAATGAAGTCACTATTAGCAGAAATTAGAAACATTCTATTAATGGTGACACTCATATAAAAGTCTCCGATTTGCCACTCCCCATGCATTAAAACACAAATATAGATAGAAATCCCTGGTGTCCTTTCAGCCATTCTGCAAGCAAAGGTACAAGGTGGAAGGAGCCTAATGTCAACTTCTGGACAGGTCCTTTAGCGGCAAGTATGTGATGCTCAGAAGACATCTGCCAACATACATTCCTGGAGCCTGTGGCACATGTCTTGACATACTCAACCAGTGACGGGAGGACACCAATGGCAATGAGATTTCGGACGGCAAATGAGAATGAGAAACGACTGGTGGAACTAAGGAAGGAGGCACTGGCAGAGGCAGCAAAGAGGCTTGGTGCTTGCAACAAGGCTGTAGCTTACATAAAGAAAAGGTTGTACCTTCACAGCCACGCTCTATCTGTCCACTCCGATGGAGGGCATCATTGATGAGGTCTGGCAGACGCCCGTTCAAGTCCACTGATGCTAGACAGCCCTGAAAGCCATCCCGGGAGGCAACGAGCTTTGGAAGGTTGCTGTACATGCCTTGTGCCAGACCAGCCATGTAGAGATCACCTGAAAAGGAAAGTAAGTAAGCAAAGAGAATGAGTAAAGGATATGGAAACCATGTCAATTAAAGGCAATGAACTTGAGGCTACCCGTTAGATAAAGGTAGTATCCAACACATAGTCTCAGTTTGGTTTGGTTTTTGGTTTGGTTTTCAAAAACTATTTTGGTTTGGTTTTTGTTTTCAGATGTACTAGAAAACAAAAACCAAATCAAAATAAAACCAAGTTAAATAACTACCAGGGTTTCTAAATTGTAAATAAATAAATAAATATGCATCTTTCATTTTCCATATGCCATTTCACAAATTTTAATCATGATATTAATTCTGTGAGATAGGTATTGCCCCCATTTTATGATGAAGTAAAGTTTAACAACAACTAAAAAAAAAACATTTATTGAGTGTTTTTAATGTGCTTGTTACTGACAATATGCTGAGGGTTTTACAGACATTATTCCATGAAAACTCCCAATAATCCATAAGTGTAGTAACAGTTATTATCCTCATTTTTGAAAATAATATACTGAAGCTGAACAAGGCTAAGAATTTTACTAATGTCACTCAGCCAGTAAATGATTCAGCTGAGATTCCAAGGCCGATATTCTTTGCACTATACTATGGTCCCTCCACATGCTGAATTATATCATACTGTAATTTGTAACCTCTTCACTCAGTCCCTCTACAGTAAGACATTCCAGAGGTCTACAGAGAAAATGAAACATTCCTTAAAGAGTGGTCTAATTAAAAGCTGAATAAATTACAGAATGATATAATTCGACATTGTTAAAATAGGATATGCAAGATGTATCAAAAATGTATGGCACCCCTGACCTGTAGTTTGCCTCTGGAAAAAGCCTTTGGATTATAAGAAACACTCTAAGAAGGATAAACTTCTTTACAAGGTTTACCTTTCAAGTCCAGATTTTTGGCACCATTGATAACCTGAGTGACCACCTTGGTGTCCACTTTCAAACTGTGGGTGTTACTGTTGTCCCGGGTGATGACGACGTTGTGCCACTGGTTGTCATTCAGGGGGCGGTCACTGTTGCCTTTGATCACATTGGGACCATTTCCAAGGTCAAACACGTAGTGTATGTACCTAAGAGGGACAATAGCCATGTGATGATTTGCAATTCCCTGAAGTGGTTTAATGGCAACATCTGTGTAACCAACTAAGAGGACTTCAAATCCCTATGTTAAACTGGCATCAAGCAGGAGTAACTAACACTTAATTTAGGATTACAAAAATAGTCAGATCCTATTTTATAATACTTCACTTTCATTCCATACTCATACAGCCCATTTTTTTAACATTACCTAATAAAAATCCAGGGCCGCTAAGTAGGCAGGTGGTACTCTATAAAACACTAGGCAGCGACATTTATGTTCACAGCTAATTATAGAGTTGTATATTTTTGACCATTTTCCAGTATATGAGAGTAAAATGTCTTGACAAAAGGGCAGCTTTTAAAATTTGCATACATGATCTAATGGTAGGGCTAAAAATATCTATATTTCATTTCTCGCTATACAGTTTTGGAGGTTGCAGTTAATACTGCCCAAGAGATAGATACAACACCTCCCATAGCCCTCTATTGCAAGAATAGCTTTTAAAGGACTACATTTCATAGTAAAGAGACTGATAGTATTGAGTTACTAAAAGATCTTTAAATAAATGAATTTGTCTCTCTCCAGTAGAAATCATTATGCTGTTCTTCTAACCAATGAAGATGTTAGCATGTGTCAGGAATAGAGGGTGGGGTAGAATGGACACATTTTTTTCATGTCTATATTTTGTTCAAGGCTTGAGCTAAGATATCTAGTATAAAGTATGCAATCCCTTCCACTTACCCCTTGACTAGCTCAACTGCAATGAAGTCATTGCCGTCACCACTGTTGAAGAGAATGAAGCCATCAGCTGAGGTGGTCTTGAACTGGAAGAAGAGGTGCATGGAGGTGTAGGCCTGGAGGGTGGCCAGGCTTAGGTAACTGCTCTTGGTTTTGAAGGTGACAGGGTCAGCGATGATGTTCCTCAGTCCAAAACGGGCCTTCAGCTCACAGTAATCAATGTCACCATTTTTGCACAGATCAATGTAAAGCAGCCCATTAAACATGAGGCTCTGCAGGTGGCCAATGAAACTGGAGGGGACAACAGAGATGTAACGCTTCTCGGTCATGATACCAGTTTCAATATTGTGGAACTCCAAGCGGGTATGATCACCCACCATTGTACCTATGAAAATCACAAATGAAGTATAAACAGGACAAGTTGTCATGTTTTGTCATACTATATCTAGGTTCAACTTGTTTCTGCACATGATATTCAGTTTTCTTTGAGGGAGTTCCAGAAAACAAAATATCAATATAGTACGTACCTGACTTGACCTCATTTGGGGATCTGAGTACTGACTTAGCCCAAGTTATATGCCCTGTACCCCATGCTCTTATGCAGCCACTCAGATGCTCCATTGTGTAAAGAAAAATGTGAGATCATGGGTAATTCATCAAAGGATAAAATTATCAGTTGTCTCCATTCAGGAAACCAATCAGGCACTAACGTATACTATTGAAGAAAAATCTTTGTTGTCCTAGCCCTTGAAGAGACAACAAACAAGTTTTAGTCATTCACTACCAAATATTTCTTGCTGTAATAACTCACTACCTAGTACTTGTGGAAAAGGTTATATTGTAGAATATCTGTTGATTTTACCTGCCCAGCAACTGTTGCTTTTTCTGATAATAACACATACTTTTCCTTTAGGAAACTATCCTCTGCCCTTCACCTTTAAACCAACGTGGCTAGATGAAGCTGACCCTCTCCCAGTAATGACCCTTTCCTAGAACAATCAAGTTACCCAGGGACGACCACTCAGTATCTTTTTTCTCCCTAGCCATAAAATTTGGTCTAAAGATTAACAAAAAGTCCTCAAACTTTAGTTTACATCATAATCACCTGGTGGGCTTGTTAAAACATAGATTGCTGGGCATCACCCCCCCCAGATTTGAAGCCTAAGAATTGGTTATTTGTAACAAGTTCCTAGGTGATGCTTATGCTGCTGATCTAAGGGCCACAACTTGTGAACTATTGGATTAGCACACAACCCAAACCAAGCCAGTAAAATTCAGCTCCTGAGTTTTTGCTGGAACACTTTTGAAAGAAGCTTCCTCTGCAAGCAAGGCTTACAGAAAAGATAAGAAGAAAGCCTAGTGCTGCTAGGGGCCATTCAGTAACCAGAGGGACTGAGCCTGCCTGAGGAAAAGCCAACTCAGAAGACAAAGAATTGGGGAGAAGCAGTTTCTCTATGATGACGTCACCTGAGTGTCTGGATCCAGTCAGCCTACTTAGATTTTAAAATATATGTGGTAATAAATTCCGTTTTGTGCTTAAAACATTTAGGTTGGGATTCTGACACTTGCTTCTGAGAGATCTCCAACTGATACAAATGAACTATGAGACCTTTTCTGATCTAATTTATCTAAAAGTTGCAAAGGAGTGACTGGGGCAGGGGTGAAAAGGAGGGCTTGAAATAAAAGCAAAGCGACTAGAAATTCTAATAACAAAGCCAAGGAAAACATCATCTGAATGGCTGGAGCTGACTCAACATTTATGTAGATAAATCACACTAAAATTTAACAAATTATGCCCTAATGTTACAGAAAGGGGAAAGAAACTCCACCTTCCTCACTTCTCCTGTTTACTTCCTTCCAATATGGAGCCCTGGTGGTGTAGTAGTTAAGAGCTCACCTGCTAACCGAAAGGTCCACTATTTGAATCCACCAGCGGCTCCTCAGAAACCCTATGGCGCAGTTCTACTCTGTGCTATAGGGTAGCTATGAGTCGGAATCAACTGGATGGCAATGGATTTGGTTTCTATATGGAGGAAACTTTCCTAGCAAGACACTTCAGATATCTTTTCAGACCCCTCTCTTACAACTCTGCAGAGGAAAAGGAGTGGTATAACCTAAATGATTAAGTATAATCTGCAAAAACAACAACAACAAAAAATAAACATAGCTCAGCCCCTGGCACTTCCTGTTTCTCTTTGGGGAGTGGGGAGTGTGTTCAGGAAATACAGGTTCTACTCTACTATTCCATGGATTGAGTGTTATAGAAACAAACCTTGTTTACCCCAGTCCCGAGTTAGTGTCTGGGTGGGCAGTTTTGTCTAATTCTGAAGTTCAGTAGATGTAAGCCACATTTTTCAATATTAGTGTTACTAATAAAAATGATATTTAATTTGCATCTGCCTTGCTTTTTTTTTTTTTCCCAGAACTCAGGTACCAAAAGAAAAAAAAGGGGGTAGCTTAGTAAACTTCAATATCTAGACGTTTCAACCACCTCACACTCTTAGATGCCAAATATTAATTTTGCCTCCTTAAGGGTAAACTCAGACCTAATTCAAAGAATCACTCATAAGCACAAAAATTAGATTTATATTTTACGAGCCTCTGCATGGTATTTTGACTACTAAGGCTAAATCATTCTCCTAATATAAGCTAAAATAAAATAATGATGTTGGTTAACTTAAATATAAAACTGTAGTAGAACAAAAATCAAAATGCAACATAAATCTGTTAGCAATCGACTACCTTGGAAAAAGAATTACTATATAAAATTACTTAGTATTGAAAATTGGACTGGCCATAAAAATGCAAAGTAGCATAACCTAATGCACAGGTTTCGAATACTGAAGTGAACTGAAATACCCAATGTCAATTTGACTACAGCAGCTAATACCAGGGATGCGGCTGGGGCTGGGGCTGGAGAATGATAGGAAGGGTGAGTCACAGCCAATCTAATGGGGAATTCAACCATAATGATGCTGGTAGTCACATTAATTCTTATTTTAAAAAGAAATAAATAATCATCAGTGAGAACCAAGAAGTGAGAATGGGGTGATCCCTGGTAAAGACTGGGCTTCCGAATGCATCTGAAGGAACTATGTTAAACTATTTTAAAGTAAACTTTCAGAGGATTACAGTTTCAGGAGTTGATAGAAATTATGATAAATAAACCTCAAGAACTGAGGCGTTAGGACATTCTGCTCATTAGAAAATGAATTTTACAAAGCAAGGGGGAAAAAGAAAGTAAGGTGTTGACTGAGACAGAAAAACTAAGCAAGCACTTGGATACGTAGGAGAGGAGAAGCAAAGGACTGAATTTGAGGACTTATCCCAGGGACACAGACTAGATGGAGGTTTAAAGTGATTCTGAGAGTTTAGGAGGAGGGGCTGGGAAGAAGAAGGGGAAGTGGAGCCAAACTAGACAATAAATTGGCTTCATCAAGTATTTAAGAGCTCAAACTGCTAACCAAAAGTCAGCAGTTGGAATTCACCAGCCGCTCCTTGGAACCCTGCGCGGCTGTTCTACTCTGTCCTATAGGGTCGCTATCAGTAGGAATTGGCTGGACAGCAACGGGTTTGATTTGGTTTTCACCAAATATTAAAGGAACTCACAAAGGTTCCAAAAAAAGTATGGTATTACACCTTCTGTACTATAAAAGAATCCAGGAAAAGCATGAAATAAATTGTTTAATGTTTGAATCCTGTGCCAAATTAACAAAATACATTTAAAAAACCCTGAGTGTCACCTAATCAATATTAGTAACTGGGGATCTTTTTACTCATGTCCCCTGAAGGTTGTCGTTAGCCTAAAACTCCTTTCCATTAAAGGGCTAAATATATGCTTATTGATTGTAGCTGCTTTCATATTTGGGAAGAAAGAGGAATATCTCAGGAGAAAGATCACAAGGAAAAGCTGAGGTTACTGAATATTGTCTATATGCCAGGGACATGCCATCATCACAATAAAACCAAAGACAGGTTTCATTATCTAGCTTTAGAGATTAAGGCCTTTAGCTTAAAGATGGTAGGCAACAGGATCAAGGTTCACACGGGTGATGAATGACAGATGGCCAAACTGAACCCAGGTCTGCCTGATTCCAAAGCTCATCTCTTAACTTATACACTGTACTGTCTTTGGAGAAAAAAGCTTGACTTATTCCTCACATTATACCCAAGTAAAGTAAATGATAAAATGTCCATGTAGAAGCTGCTGTGATGAATTCACATTTTCTTCTCAGCGTCCAACTATCATAATGGGCATTCCATCTAATTCATGGCTAATGCGTTTAGCAGCTCTGCTAGGACAGCCCTACTGCCTTCGCTCCTACTCACGTGCTTACTGCCATATTTCACTGAGGGCTGACAAGCAGTCTACAGGTCAGCCCTCAGAGTGATGAAGCTTACTGGGGACGTAACTGATAGAAAAGTTGGGCCAAGTTCAAGCTCTAACTTCCCCGAGTCAATAACATACAGTGTATGAGCATGCGGGCCTCCCTGGATTTACATTCCAACATCACTACTTCTTAACTGGAGGGTTATCTAACGTTTCTGTACTCCAGTTTCCCATCTGTGAAATAGGGATGAATTTATCAGAATTAAATGGATTAATACTTACCAAGTACTTAGAAAAGTGCCCAGTGCTCAAACCTGTTACACACACCCATTGCCATCTAGTCAATTCTGACTCATACCTATTACTAATTATGCAGCATTCATTTTTTTCCTTTCTCTGAAAAGTTGTAATAATTTTATTATTTAACTTACTGTTTTTCTCTCTTTTATTAGACTGCAAGCTCCTTCTAAATAGGAACTAAGAGCTGCCTCTTCTATATCTCCCATAGTGATTAGCAGAGGGGTCTAAACACAGTAAGCATCTCTAACAGCTAAGAAGGGAAGTTGTCTTTCAGACATTTGTTTGGAGTTGTTGCTAGGTGCCATCGAGTCTATTTTGACCCACAGTGACCTTATGTACAACAGAATGAAACACTGCCCGGTCCTGTGCCGTCCTCAAAATCGTTGCTGAGGCAGCCACTGTGTCAATCCATTTCATTGAAGGTCTTCCTCTTTTTCACTGACCCTCCAACGTTATCAACCACAATGTACTTCTCCAGGAACTAGTCCTTCCTGATAACATGTCCAAAGTATGTGAGACAAAGTCTCACCACTCTCACTTCCAAGGAGCACTCTGGCTATACTTCTTCCAAGACAGACTTGTTCCTTCTTCTGGCAGTCCATGGTATATTCAACATTCTTTGCTAACATCAAAATTCAAAGGCATCAATTCTTCTTCAGTCTTTCTTACTCATTGTCCAGCTTTCACACGCATATGAGGCGATTGAAAACATCAAGGCTTGGGTCAGGTGCACCTTAGTCCTCGAAGTGACATAT